TATTGTTTCATTGTTGTGCTTCATTGTCCATTCTGTTGCTGACTGTTGGTCGCCAGGGACTGTCAGCCCCCAGTTGTGCAAAATCCTTTGGGGCCATCTGCACCTGTCCCACCTGGGTGCAGTCCCCAGGTGAAGTCGCAGGCAGGAAAGGGGCCTGCAGAGTCGAGACAGTCAGTATTGGCCACAGCAGCTGGTTTCGGAATGGTTAGTGTGGGCAGAGGCACCTGGCCTCCCTGTGTCCCATGGTGGCAGTCAGCAGTGGCACCACTCATACATGCCTCATGGTGCAGGGACACATGGGTGGCATCACCCTAGCCCGCTACCTGCTCCTCATCGTGGCCTGTGACTCCTGGCTGAGGCACAGTAAGAAAGGCACGCAGGAAGAGTGGGCTCTGGGTCCTGGCCGGCCACCTCTGGCCCAACCTGCTCCTCCAGGACTCCAGTGGCGCCGGCTAACGCTGCTTCCAAGGCCTCTCCTTGCCACTGCTGGGTGGCACGGCAGCGGTGTCTTCCCCAAGGCATCCGCGCTACAGGCACGTGTTCTTGGGGGGCCGCCCTGCCCTGCCCTGCCTGATCTGGGGTGGCCTTGGCTCAGGTGCTTGGCGCTGCCCAGCAAGTGTCCTTTCCAGTCCCTGCTTACCTCTGGCTTGAACACAGCGCCAAGGGGCAGACAGAGAAGCGGGTGTGACTGTGGGGTCAGACCCCTCTTCTCTTTTCTGAGACCCTCCAGGGGCCGGCCTGGGGCCATGGGCAAGGAAAGTTTCCAGTCGCACAACCTGGCCCACCCTCTGGCATGTCGCCCACGTCCAGAGGGCCCTGCGCAGTGGATGAGCCCCAGCAGAATTTTCCATGGAAAACATCAGACGGCTGAGTTGCAGACGACCCCAAGCTTGCTTCTCTGGCTGTCCTGGGGCACCTGCCATCTGCCCTCTAGGCTGGCTGGGCAGTGTGGCCATGGCTTGGTAGGGTCAGGCTCGACCAGGGTGTGCCCTGGGAGAACTTCCTGAGGGAGGCAGACTGCAGTGGCTGCTACAGTCGCTGTTCCCGTGAGTGAGTGGCAGGGAGGGTCTGACACAAGCTGTGTTCTGTGGGCAGACGGTGCACAATAAGCATATGAGTTCTCTGATGCCCAGAGCAGAGCTGGAATTGTGCTGGCCGGCCTCAGCAGGTGGCATGTGCCTTGGGGCTCTGCTCTGCACACCAACAGAGGCGCAGCGCCACACCCTACTTCCCTCTGCGTGCGTGGTGAGGATGGGGCGAGACCCAGCAGAGGCCCAGTGGACTCGGGGCTATCACTGGAAAGCCCCCACATTTAAAGGGAGGCAACTTTAGAAATTGTTTCTAAATTAGCCATTGTGTCTGAATGTCAGGCCCTCCGAGCAGGGCCCCTGACACCTGAGTGTTGCCTAAACCCTTACACTGGCTGCCCGGGTAGTTATTGGAAGTCTGGCCCCTCACCCCATCAGCCACACACCTCAAGGACAACAGAGCCAGGCCCTTGTCCCGTTCCACTGGCCTCTCCCCTACATCTGGCCCAACCTTGGTGTGTAGACCGGATCTTCGAAAATTGTGGCACCTGCCACTTGAACCCTGGTGACACAGGCACTCCAGGGCACGTGGCGTCCCCACAGATGAGTTCCTCAGCTGTTCCTGTGGCCGCTCTGGACCCACTCTGCTGTCCCTCTACCCCGGGCCCTGGCGGTCACCATTCTGCTCTCTGTCGTAAGGGTTTGCATTGGCTCCACGACATCTCATGAACCAAACCTTGGACCATTTTCACAGCCACACGTGATCCTGCCGTGGGATGGGTCACATCTGCTTGTCCATTTGCCACTGGTCGTTGCTTCTAGAGCATTCCACTGCCCCACCAAGCCTGACGTGCCCCGTCTCTGGTGCTTCTAGGTGTAGCCGGAGGTGCCGCTGCTGGACGCCTCTCTCCCTTCCCATGTGCACGGCTGCATCCTGTCGCGTTCTCCTCAGTGCACGGGGGTGCCTGGCTGTTATCGTAGCAAAGCCACCCCATGGGGTGCCCTGGCTTCCCTTTGCCTTTCCCAAAGTCTCAGTGAAATGTGACTCCACCCCTGTGCCCGTGGCCAGTGCGTGCATCTTCATGAGAAACTTGGCATTTTTCTGTTGAGTTGTACTTCTTTCAGATGCAATTCTTTTTTTTTTTTGAACAGTTTTTTTTTAAAAAAGATTTATTTATTTTTATTGCAAAGTCAGATATACAGAGAGGAGGATAGACAGAGAGGAAGATCTTCCATCCAATGATTCACTCCCCAAGTGGTCGCAACGGTCGGTGCTACGCTGATCCAAAGCCAGGAGCCAGGAGCTTCTTCCAGGTCTCCCACACGGGTGCAGGGTCCCAAGGCTTTGGGCCGTCCTCTGGTGCTTTCCCAGGCCACAAGCAGGGAGCTGGATGGGAAGTGGAGCTGCCGGGATTGGAACTGGCGCCCATATGGGATCCTGGTGCGTTCAGGGTGAGGCCTTTAGCCGCTAGGCCACGCCGCCAGGCCCTCAGATGCAATTCTCTCTTACTTATTTTAAAGTTGGAGTTACAAAGAGAAAAGATGAGACAGAGAGATTCTCTGATTTGCTCCCCAAATGGCTGTAAGAGCCAGAGTTGGGCCAGGCCAAAACCAGAAGCCAGGAGTTCCGTATGGGTCTCCCATGTGGGTGCAGGTGCCCAAGCACTCGGGCCATCCTCTGCTGCTTTCCCAGACACATTAGCAGGGAACTGAGTCAGAAATGGAACAGCCGGAACACAAACTGGTGCCCATATGGAATACTGGCACCCTTGACCACAGCTTAATCCGCTGCACCACAGCGCTGGCCCCAGATGGAATTCTTGAATCTGATTTATTCCGACACAGGGGGATGCCAGGATGCAGCCCTGTCCAGAAGTTGCCCCTGCCCGTTGCTCCCTCCCAGTTGTAGGCAGAGGAACTTGTAGGGTCTCCAGGGCAGGGAGAGCTATGGGTGGTCCTGAGCAGGGGCTATACGGTCAGACTGGGTACTGGTGGGGTGGGTGGGTGGGACAAGCTAGCCCGTAATCTGCTCCTGGCCTGGGCTCTGTCTTGAGCCCTGCTTCCAGCAGGGGCAGCGGGGGACTTGGTGGGCAGGGCCTGCAGCAGGCATCTGGGGTAGGCAGTGTGGTGGCATGGTGGCCAGCGGAGGCCGCCCGTCCCCCCAGTTCCCAGGCTCGGTTTCCAGGAGCTACAATTACTCGGTTCTGAATTCCCCAGATTCCAGCCCAGTCCCGGCCCCACCCTCACACACGGGCTTCCTTCACCCCAGCCCAGGGCTTTTCTGCCCATTGTGCCCGTGGGAGACCCAGGGGGGTCCCAGCCAGATTAGCGGGTGGGGCGGTGGGCGGGCTGGGGATTGAGTGTCGGGCAGGCGCCCTGGCTGCAGCACGTGCTGCGGGCTTGGCCGCGTGGGGACTTTCCAGCTGGCTTTGGGTGCTCAGCTGCCCTGGAAAAACACTGACCAGTTTCTCCCAAGTTGGGTTGGCAGGCTGAGAGCAAAGGAGGCAGAAGGGGAAGTGGGGGTGCCCGGAGCCAGGGTTCCCTGGTGGTCTCCCCACACTGAGTGTTATTTGGGAGTGGATGCAGGTCCCCAGGTGGGTGGGAGCCTGGCCACATCCTCCCTCCGGTTTGCTGCCCTCCCTGCATGCTCGCCAGCCACCGTGGGAAACAGATGGCCAGTGCCCAGAGAACCCAGAAGATTCCCATTGGACTTGGCAATTCCGTTCCTAGGTGTGTGCCTGAGATGGAAAACGGGAACTGAAGCAAAACGTGTCCCTGCATGTTCAGGTTGCACAAGAGCCAACAGGTGCACAGCATCCGGGTGTCTGCCAGCAGCGAGGAGATAAGCAAAGCCAGACATAGGCAGGTGCTGGGCTGTTGTCCAGCCTGAACCAGGATGGGGACCAACTCGGGACGCAAGACTGAAGCCACCTTCTGAGGGGTACTAGCCGCGAGTGGGGCAGGAAGCAGGGCTGGGGTGGGGACAGAAGTAGGGAAGCGGTGGGCTGCCTGTTGGTGTGTGGCTTCGTCTGTGGGCCTGCACGTGGGCCTGAACTCACAGGACTTGGCTGATGTTTGTGGGCAAATTTCAAACTTGACTGAAAAAGCAAAGCTGAAATCCTGGCCAGAGTGAATGTGACAGGTGCGGCCGCCTGCCGGGGGCTGGGGGTGTTACACGGGAGCACCTGCTGTCCAGCACCCGGCAGGGCAACCTGCTGCTGCCCAAGAGGCCCCTGGGGGACAGGAACCAAAAGCATTGTCCCCGTCAGCTGGCATGGTGACTTAACACACCAATCCTTTGTCTATAAGTGCCGGTATCCCATTTGGGCACTGGTTCGTGTCCTGGCTCTCCCACTTCCAGTCCAGCTCCCTGCTTGTGGCCTGGGAAAGCAGTAAAGGACGGCCCAGAGCCTTGGGACCCTGCACCCATGTGGGAGACCTAGAGGAAGCTTCTGGCTCCTGGTTTCTGATTGGATCAGCTCTAGCCATTGCATCCACGTGGGGAGTGAACCAGGGGATGGAAGATCGTCTGTTTCTCCTTCTCTCCATAAACCCAATCTGCCTTTCAAACAAAAATGAATCTTAAAAAAGAAAAGGAAGAAGGAGGGACTGACTCCAGCAGTGGCCGCTGTGGGCAGTCTTTCTCGTGGTGCTTGTCGGTGCCATGCAGTGGTGCTGGGGGGCAAGGCAGGTGCTTCCTGCATTCACTTCATGGAGAAGCGGAATACAGCCCGTGGGCCTGGCTCCCCACAGGCAGCTTGCTCCTGGGGCATCGGGGGGCCGTGGGAGGGGGCAGGCAGGAGGAGCCCTAGCCGCCCGGGACTCCTGGTCCCAAAGCTCTGTGTGTCTGCTTCCAAGGTCCCGGACAGGCAGGCATGGCTTCCCCAGCGGTTTGCTTGGTCCCTGAGAGGCTGGGGAGGGGTGCCCGCTGCCCGCTTGGCCTCATGCCACTGTCTCTGTCTCGCTTTGCAGAGCGCTGTCATCCGTGGTGGCCTTGGGAGCCAACATCATCTGCAACAAGATTCCTGGCTTGGCCCCGCGGCAGCGTGCCATCTGCCAGAGCAGGCCGGACGCCATCATCGTCATCGGGGAGGGGGCACAGATGGGCATCAACGAGTGCCAGTACCAGTTCCGCTTTGGGCGCTGGAACTGCTCGGCCCTGGGCGAGAAGACTGTCTTTGGGCAGGAGCTCCGAGTAGGTAAGGGTGCCTCCAGACCAGCGTGGCCTCCCGGCTGGCATGACCTCTGGACCAGCGTGGCCTCTCAGTCGACGTGGCCTCTACTAGGCTGGCATGGCCTCCCAGCTGATGTGGCTTCTGGGCTAGCATGGCCTGGCATCAGGGCGGGGGGCCTAGGGCCCAGGTCATCCACTGGTTGCCTGTGGTCATGCCTCATTGCTGAGCGGAGGCAGCCTGGGCTTTGGGGACATGAGGCCGCAGGCTGGCAGCCTGGCAGGTGGGTGTTCTGGTGGTCAGGGAGAGAGTGGGAGAGAGTCACTCAAGGCATGGGGACCTTGCTGGCTATGCTGTCCCAGGGACCCCTCCTCACTGCCCAGCTGAGGAGACTGAGGCCGTGTTGGGGGTCTGCTCTGGATTTGAGCCCTGCCAGACCACTGTGGGGTCAGGTCTCATCCCTGGCTGAGAGCAGGTCCCCATGATGTGTGAATGTGGTGTTGGGGCTCCTGAGCCTCTCCTGGTACGTCAGATAGTAGGTTCCCTATGAACATGCCTGGGGGCGCACAGTGGGCTTCCAGCCCTGCACCCCATTGTGAGGGACAGTGTGGGGCAGTGGTGCCCAGCAGCAAGCCTGCAGGATGTCCAGCCCCAGGCACGGCGTGTTCTCATCCCGGAGTACATATGAGCCTGGCCTGCTGAACAGCCCCACTGCTGGGGCCCAGGCTGGCCCAGGCTCTGCAGGGCCTGGAATGCTGGCATGGGGCTGGGGGTGGCACTGGGGAAGCCCTAGGGGCCGCTTTGCGGTAAGCAGCCGTGGGTGGCACCTGGCGCAGCCAGGAGGGTGGCACCGCCCTCTCCCTGAGGCCCTGCCACCCAAGTGCAGCTGCCACGATCCAGGTGCCCGTCGGGCAGGGCGGTGCGGACACTCCCGCCCGCCGCGGTGTGGGGTATGTCATCCCAGGTGCCCACCTGCCTACTTGGCCCCCAGCCCCGAGGCGTCAGGCTCTGAGGCAGCTGGGAGCTCCCCTCTCCGAGAGCCCAGGGCTAGTGCTGGAAGGTGGGGGGTGCAGAGGGTGACAGCCTGCTCGCAGACGGTTGAGTGCTGGAGACCACACGACACGTGGGGCAAGGGTCCCCGTGGCCACCCAGCATCTCCCTGCGGCCAGGCCCCAGGTGGAGGGAGCCCCATGGCCACCTGCCCACAATGGTCATTCTGTATTCTTCCTTAGTGTCTTTGCTGGGCTGCAGTGGGTGGGTCTGTGGTTCCACTCACAGGGGAGGGAGGACCGGGTGCGGGGGGGGGGGCGGGGGGAGGTGACTTTTTTCCTGGAGGATTAAGCCACAGCCAGGGCCCCTGGGGTCCAGTTTCTTCCCTGCCCCTCTGCCCTTTCTCTAGTCTGAGACCCCGCCTGCAGGAAGCCCACCTGGATAGCTCAACCCATTGGGATGAGCAGGCCGGAGGCAGAGGCTTGGGTCCAGCTGTCCACACTTGCTGGCTGCATCTCCTGGCTTTCCTCCCATCTGCCACTTCTTGTCCTCCCAGGAATGACTGCCCCTCCTCCGTTTGTGCTTCCAGGCCCTGTACATGTCCTTGGCCCCGCCTCCTCCATGGCATCACAGCTGCGGGGGTGGGGAGTTGTCCCGCACCGCTGCAGCTCGGTACTCTCTAGCTGCTTAATTCGGCTGTGCCTGCACCTCTCTCCCGGACCATGGTCAGGGCAGGAGCGTGGGATCCGTTCCCACCCTGTGGCCACCGCTAGGCCTGCTTCTCTGGTCCTTGCCTTCAGCCACGTCTCCTCCAGTGCCCTTTACTGACACGTCAGTCCCTCCCTCCCGAACCTGCAGTAGCTCCCTACTCCCCCAGTGTGGACACCTTCGCCTGGCTGCCCCCTCTCGCGTTCCCCTTCATTCTGCTAGAAAGCAGAGCTCTTGCCACACGTGGCCCCTCTGTGCCTCCAGCCTTGGCTCCTGGGAGCCCCTCCCTCCTGCAGCTCCTCTCCTGGGGCCATCTCTCTCTCTCTTCTCCCCCCAGCTACCCACACCCCAGCAGAGTGGGTCTCCTCCAGGCTCTCCCTGTACGCCATGCTGGCCTGGGGTGGTGGATCTGGCTGCCCCGACAAGGCCCAGCACCAGATTGGTACAGCTGGCTGCAGGCCTGGCAGGCTGAGCTCAGCTGGCAGTGTATGCGTCACAAGCGGTCTGTGTAGGCTCTTGGCTCTGCCCAGGGGTGGCTGCAGCAGGAAGTGGGACTGCGACCTAGGGGTCCCGCACACAGGACAGAAGCTGGGAGCAGCCATGAAAGCCGTGGCAGAGGCCAAGGGGCCCAAGAGGGGACTGCTCTGGGTGGTCCCTGCCAGCAACCTTGGCTACGTCTCAGGGTGTACTCTGAGGACACCCCTACCCTTGCCCCATGCCCAGCTCCTGCAGTACCCACTGTATTTGTTGCGTGCTCCCAGGCCTAGGCCACCCAATACCCCCTGTTGGGTAGTTGATCCATGCTGGCCTCGCCCCAGGGCCCGATGGGTGCCAGCTGCTCAGCTCCGTCTGAGGGGTGGGTCGGTGCCAGCTCTGGCCTCCCTCCTCCACTGCCGTGGCCTCCCTCCCCTCCCTGTGCCTGGCAGCCTCTGGAGTCCCCACCCAGCCCTGTTTCTGCAGCAATGGGGCAGGGCTAGTGGCCCAGGCCCCTCCTTTCTTCTGGTGACTGGCAGCAGGCTTGAGTGGGAGTGGGACCCCCAGGAGGGCTTGGGGGCTGGGGGAGGCAGCAGAGCCAGAGTAGGGGCCCCTGGTATCCAGGACAGTCTGTTGGAGACTTGGGCCCTGGGGAGCAAAACGGGGAGTGTGTCACCAGATTGGTGACCTGGGAGAGCCACGGCGACCCAGGCCAGCCTGCAGGTGCGGCCACAGCAGGCAGGCACCAGGCCCCGGGAGCTGGAAGCCACAGGGGTTTTTTAGGAGCGGGCTGAGGGGAGGGGGCAGAGATGGGGCCCTCCCCATGCACCCCCAGCCACTGTGCCCTGCCCCTGAGCCGAATCCTGTGTGCATGGGGGCCTCCCCGCCCCCATGCTTCCCTGCTAACACCCCCCAGCTGCCAGAGGACGCTGTGCCCCACCCATCATGTGCCAACCTCAGACATGACCAGGCATAAGGGCCTCCCCTAATCTGCTCATGTGAGTTGCCTGGGGGACAGTGGCGCCGAGCGTGGTTGTGAGCTTGGCACGGGGCTGGGTTTGTGGGAGCCCCTTGTCACATGCAGGGGGGCCATAGCAGATGCCACATGAGGCGCTGTGGTCTAAGGGGTGTGGGGAGGCAAGAGAGGGTGGCCCAGGTACTGCGGGTTGTCCACCCCACCCAGCTGGTAGAGCAAGCCCAGCTGAGGGCCGAGGGCCGTGAGGCCCACGCTGGTGGCCACAGGTGAGCTCTGGGCATGGAGCTGCCCATGCAAGGGGAGTGTGGTGCCCTGAGAGCCTGCTGCAGGCTGTGGAAAGCATGCAGACACGCTCACCCTGCCGAATCACCTTTCTTCCTGGCCTTCTGGAAACGTTGGCCGACCCCTATATTTACCAGGGCTCCTGGGTGCTGCAGCTCTCACAGGGGCTGGCAGGTGCACCACATGGCTGGGTCAGGGCAGAGGGCACCTCTGGACCCAGCTTCTCCTGTGTGGCATAGGGCAATCACCGATCCTCTGACCGAAGACAGACGTTACGTGTCAGCCCCTGTGGCCCTTTAAGCTGCCTGCGTTGAGCGCCCGCTGTATGCCAGGCCTGGGGCCCGGAACATATCGACTGGAGCCAAACTGGGAAACACCGCTTGTTGGGGGCTCCAGCCTCGTGCCAGCCGCACCCCTGGGGTCTGTCTGGTGTGATCACCTACCCCACCACTGTACATGCGCGTCCCAGGCTCCAGCAGCCAGGGCCCTAGGACAAGTACAGCCTTGAGGGCCAGAATCAGAAAGGCCTTCCACTCCAGGGTGGTCTGGGACTTGTCCGGAATGCTGATGGAAAAAGGACCTGTGTGTGGGGGAGGCCAGTGGCCCAGTTCCTGCTGTGTGACCCTGTGTATAGCCTCGTGTCCTTGGTGGCTCAGTGTACCCACCTGCACCAGAACTGGGGGGCAGGAGGGCCTCCCCTTAGGCCGTACCTAGCTGCCCACTCCAGCAAAGGGCACAGAGCACTAGGTAGGCGAGACCCAGGCTCCGGGGGCCAGGCCCAGTGCCAGGAAGGAGCCTGCTCGGGTTCCGAGGCCCACACCCCGGGAGGCCAGCCTGCCGAGAATGGTTGTTCCAACCCCCTCCGCACCCAAGGGGGCGCAGAGGCTCAGAGGCCCAGGGATGAGGCAGCTTGGCCACCACACACAGGCTGCAGTCCTGGTGCAAGAGTCCAGGAGGGAGGCCGTGGCTCAGGGCAGTAGCGGTGGCTCTGAAAGGACCTGGCACTGTTGCTGCCCAGTGGGGGCACGACCCCTGGGAGGGCCGCCCTGGGTGGGAACAAAGGCCTGGTTGCGCGGGCGGCTGGCGTGTTGGGACCTGGTGTGGCTGCTCCCCGTGTTCTGTTTACGACAACAGCAGGAGGAGCTTGGTGGGGAGACACTGACTCAGCCGGCAGGCGGGGCCGGGCGCTGCCAAGGGACCTGGGCACCAGGGCACCCAGGGAAGCCAGGAAGGCTGGGCAGATGCATGCCAGGCAGAGGGCAAGATGCATACACTGCACACCCACACGCACCCATAGTGCTCAGCTGCACCTTCACACAGACCTAAATCTCACACACTCAGACACACAGACTTGTAGCCGCACATACACACACACACCCCTACAACCTCACAGACACACCTACTTCACACACACACACCTACAACCTCACACACACACCTACAGCCGCACACACACCTACAGCCACACACACACACACCCCTACAACCTCACAGACACAGACCTACAACCTCACACACACACCTACAGCCTCACACACACACACCTACAGCCATACACACACACAACTACAGCCTCACACACACACACCTATAGCCTCACACACACACACACCTACAGCCTCACACACACACACACCTACAGCCTCACACACACACCCCTACAGCCACACACACACACCCCTACAACCTCACAGACACAGACCTACAACCTCACACACACACCTACAGCCTCACACACACACAACTACAGCCTCACACACACACCTACTTCACACACACACCTACTTCACACACACACACCTACAGCCACACACACACCTACAGCCACACACACCCCTATAGCCTCACACACACACACACCCCTACAGCCTCACACACACCTACAGCCACACACACATACAGCCTCACACACACACACCTACAGCCACACACACACAACTACAGCCACACACACACAACTACAGCCACACACACACCCCTACAGCCTCACACACACACACCTACAGCCACACACACACACCTACAGCCTCACACACACACACACACACCCCTACAGCCTCTCACACATGAGCCAGACCCAGGCTGGGGGGCTGAGTCCCAGATTCCTCGTGCCTGTCCTTGTCCATCTGGGCTCCTGCAGGTGCCTCAGTGAGCCACGTGGCACATGGCAGCAGAGTGCAGACCCCGGAGCTGGCAGGGTGCCCCCCAAAGCTGGGGCCAGTGCTTCCTGGTGCAGTGCAAGGTATAGGCCTCCAGAGGGGAGACTGGGCAAGGCCTGGCACTGCTGGGTGTTCGAAGGGGGCAGTTCTGAGCTGCCTCAGACCCTGGGATGTCCTATGCCTCCTCACCACTTCCCCAAGACAACTGCTGCCCCTCCTGTGACAACAGAGAGCTCCCCACAGCTCCTGGGCGCCCAAGGTGGGTGGCCTCAGCTGGTCCCTACCTGGGTGGGGCAGTGTTAGCTAAGAGGGACCCTGCTCTCACCTGCTCTTGTGCCCAGCACAGGGCTGCCCATGCGGTTGGTGCCCAGTGGCTGCCCCTGGGATAGGCCTGACTTGAACCTGTGTGTTATCCTCAGCCTCCAGCGGAGTGGACAGCAGCTGGGACCTCTGGCCAGGATGCGTGCTCGTTCTGCCAGGCTCCTGCTCCTCTGGGCAGTGTTGGCTGGCAATGCCCAGGGCCTGCACACTGTCAGGTGCCAGGGACATGGGGACAGCACAGGCCCAGCCATGGGCAAGCTGGGAGGCAGCCAAGAGGTAGGCATTAGGGTAGGGATGCACGTGGCTTCAGGAGATCCTGGCTTAAGGTGGACTGTGCAATGAGCTGGGATGGAGGCAGATGGATCAACTGGGTCCTCTCCTGGCTAGGAATCTGGGAAGGCTGCCTGGAGGAGGAGGCACTGGAGCCAAATTTTGTACAGTCTTTAGGACTGGGGCCAACCCCAAAGACCAGCAAGTCCACAGGGATGTGGGCTGCATCCAGAAGGCCCAAGTTTCAGTTCCGGGGCAGGAGAGGAGAGACAGGGCCGAGACTTGCTCTCCCAACTCCGTTCCGGGAGCCAGTGAGGGCGCAGGGTGGAGAGTGTGGCCTGGCTGGTGGCTCGGCGAAGGAAGTCTGGTGCCTGCATCCCGGGCAGTTCAGGGGTCCTGAGCCAGGCTGGGGCATCAGGGGAAGAGACAGGGCCTGGCAACCTGGAATGAGGGTCAGGGAGGTGGCCACCAGGGGCCTGGGTGAACTTGTGAGCTCCTCCCAGCACCCCGTACCTGCCTGGGCCCCTGTTCCCTCTGTAAGGCCGGCAGAGGGGAGGGAGACGTGGTGTGGACCCCTCCCCCGGCCTCTCCCAGCACCCAGCTCTCCTCCAGCTGAGGCTCTTGGGAACAAGGTGATGAGCCGGGTAGCTGCTGGTGGGAGGCTCACTGCGTACACCTGCCATGGGGCAGCCCTGCCAGGCGGGCTCCATCTGTGGGAAGCTCGGAGCTGCTGGGGCCCTCACTGCGCTCCCCTGCTCTCCCCGCAGGGAGTCGCGAGGCCGCCTTCACCTATGCCATCACAGCGGCTGGCGTGGCCCACGCCGTCACGGCCGCCTGCAGCCAGGGCAACCTGAGTAACTGCGGCTGCGACCGAGAGAAGCAGGGTTACTACAAGCAAGCCGAGGGCTGGAAGTGGGGCGGCTGCTCGGCCGACGTGCGCTATGGCATCGACTTCTCCCGGCGCTTCGTGGACGCCCGCGAGATCAAGAAGAACGCACGGCGCCTCATGAACCTACACAACAACGAGGCGGGCCGGAAGGTGAGGGGGCTCCGGGAGGTGTGTGCTACTGCCCCATTGCGGAGACGTGAGCCCTGAGGCTCTGGAGGGTGCAATGTCCGGGCTGGGCCAGGCCAGGCTGGGAACCCCTGTAGCAGGCAGCCTCGGTTCAGGGCCCCTGGAGGAACCCAGGGACGAGGCTGTCCTAGCAGGCAGAAACTGGGAGCCAGGGCCCCCTAGGAGTAGCTATCTTCACGCTTGAGTGGGGGAGAGGGGGTGGGCCAGGCAGGGCCACACTGGGGAAGAAGTCACAGCCAGCCCAGCCACCAGCCCCGTGGGGAGATAAGGCCTACATACTGGCTGCGAGGAGCCAGGCGGCAAGATGGCGTGAGATAGGGCGGCCGGTGGAGTGGAACGCCTCGCGGGCCTACCTCCCTGGCCCCTGGTGGCTGCAGCCAGGGCCTCAGGGGAAGAGGAGTTGAAGAAGAACCTCTGTTCCACAGGCCTTGGCAGAGTCCGGCTGCCCTTTCCTTGTGCCAGGTGCCAGGCTGGCCACAGGGCAGGAGTCGGCAGACAACATGGGCCCGGCGGGTGGCGCCTGCGTGAGGTCTTCGGGGCTGCCCACGGGGCAGTGGGAGCCTGGGGGCCACAGGAGGGAGCCCTGAAGGACGTACTGGAGCTAGGAAGAGCAGGGGCGAGTGGGAGCCAGCCTGAGAGGACCCCGGGGCAGCTGTCTCCAGGCCCCGGACTGTGTCTGAAAGGGGCCTGGTGCAGTGGGCAGGCCCATGCACCCAAGGACATCCAGATGGCTCCCTGGATCAGGAGGTGAGGCTGAGCCTCCCAGGAGGTGAGTTCTGAGCAGGCACCTTCGCACACCTCCCCTCAGCCTCAGTGGAAGGACCTGCTTCACCCATCGTACGGATGAGGAAAGCTGAGGCCTAGGGGGATGGCAGAGCTGCTCAGACAGCCCCGAGCTGCAGTCACCGCTCCAAGGAGGATGCCTAATGGTGGCCTGGTGTGGACGGACCATCCAGGCAGGAACCAGGCTAGGTTCCTGGTGCGCAGGGCAGTGAGGCAGCCAGGCTGAGCGGGCAGCATGGAAAAGCCCTAATGGCCAGGCTGACTTCAGGCTTCCAGGCCACAGTGACACTGACCCCTCTGCCTTGCCTCTGGGCTCCCACGTGCGCACAGTGGGGCTCCCACGTGCGCACAGTGGGGCTCCCACGGCGTTCTCCCCGCTGCCCGCAAGGCCCAGCCCCTCCCACCCCTGCAGGGCCTTGGGCTCCCCATCTGCACCTCTGGCGTCACCCCACATTCTCCAGCCTGCTTTGGGAGAGACCCCAGCCTGGTGGTGGTGGTGGTGGTCTTCCCTCAGCAGCACCAGGTCCTCACAGGGTCGGGGACTGAGTGGTTGTTGTGGCCAGGACGGTGCCCCATCCCTGAGGACCAAGCTGTCTGGTGAGGCGAGTCTGCCAGGGAGAACGCTGCTATTGCCGGGCAGTCCGCCCTGTGAGGGGTTTGGGGTACACCTGCTGGAGCCTCCTCCTTTGCCGGGCGCTGGCTGGGGGAGGGCCGGCAGTTCTGGCCTCTGCGGCTCCCAGGCTCTGGCCTGGCTCAGCCCGAGTCCTCCCACGGCCCCTTTCCCTGGTCTCTGCTGATGTCACTTGTGACCACAGATGTCTGACTATAAGCAGGTGCATGGAGCCTGTTCCTGATGTGGTTCCCGCTGGTGGGTGGACACAGCCATGGCCGTTTGGCTACCCTGGGACCTGCTCAGCTGCTGCCCCTATGCTTATGTCCCCCAGTGCACACACTCAGGCCTGCGCTCACACAGCGTCCGCTGAGGTAATGCAGGTGCAAGTGACCTGCTAGGGCCAGTGGCCACTCTGCTGTCCCATGGGGTGGGGAGGGAGGCGACGCCTGGCCAGATGGACAGGAGACAGTGGCTTGACCCTGCTGGGGGTATGGGGCAGCGGTGGGACCAGCCCTGCAGCAGTAGCTGTCTGGAGGAGCTCGGGAGAGAGGGGGCAGCAAGGCCAGGAGCTCGACGTTTGCTAGGATCTGGCATAACCTTGACCTGACTCCCCAGGGGCACTTGGTGCCCAGAGCATGGACCGGCATGGGCCCAGCCAGTTCTCAGGGGGACGGCACTGCCCCCTGTATACACAGGCGGAGCCCTCCCTCAGCCCCGATGGGTGATTTCAGGGTGGGCAGGGCTGGTCTTGTTGCCCTGAGGTTCTGCCTGGCGCCACAGGTACAGAGGTGGCCCCAGTGCAGAGTGCTGCACGCCCCGCACAGGCGCTGGCTCAGGGACCCAGCCAAGCGAGGATGTGGCCCCTCGTTCTGCCCCGGCTTGGCTGCGTGGGGTCGGCCAGGCCTTGATGCTGACGGAGAGATAGGGGCCAGCGGAGGCAGGCGCTCAGGAGGGCGTAGCAGAGCTGCGAGGAGGTGCCTGTGGCAGGGACGCCCCAGCCCGATTAGCAGTCTGGAGGGCAGGAGGTGAGCACTCGGTTGGGGACTCTACAGTGCCCGGGACAGTGCCCGGTAAGACAGGGCATTGGGCAGGCAGTGTGACCAATACAGAACTTCCAAGCTAGAAGGAGACAGCCTCTGGGGCCAGCAGGGCCACGCAAAGATGACCGTGTGCGGGGCGGAGAGGAGGTCCGTGGGAGCCTTTTCCTGGGGGCCACCCTGGCCCAGCCCCGCCCCCCCAGCCGGATGCCCCTCAGCCCAGACGCCCAGTCCTGCAATGCCTGCTGGGAATCCTCCTCTAGCCCGTTCCCGGGGTGGGGGTGGCACCGGCCTCCCCCTGCGCCCCTAGCTCCAGCCCAGCCAGCCCCACCTTGGGCCGACTTCCTGTCCTCCCGTGTGGCCCAGCTCCAGTGCCTGGCTCACACTCGGGCTCCCGTCATCTAGCCACGCCCAACACAGGCCCCACCTGCTCCAGGAAGTCCCCTGCAGGTGCCCCCAGCACCACCTTCTCCCTGCTTCCCTACTGGCCCGTGAGGCCAGGGCTCCCCTCTGAGACCCAGGGACTCCCGTGCCCATGGCAGGCACCAGGGCACCGGCTGTTTCCTCTTGTTCTTCCACACCTTCCCTCGCTCATTTGTTTGTGCATTTGCTGGGGGAGTTCTTGTCTGGGACAGAGCTGGGGCCCACAGCAGGTGCCCCACGGCCTGCCCACCCTCTGGGGGGCAGAGGGTGGCTCAGTCGCCCTAAGGCGAGGCTGGCGGCGCCCCGACAGCTGACAAATGGCCCCTGCTGGTGCCGTGGGGCCACAGCTAATGATTTCCTATCTTTAATCAGACCCGGCTGGCAGGCGCTTTCGATCCGGGTAAATGAGTACCTGGGGTCAGGGCTGGCTCTGGGAATCAGCCTTCCGGGGCTGCGGAGGGAGGCCCAAGGACAGCACACAGCTGCACCCATGGAGGGCCTCGGTGGAGCCTCCTAGGGGCGTCCCCGCCAGGCCTTGCTGAGCCATGTGTGCCCTCGCCCCCATCCCCGCCAAGCACCTGGCTCTAGTGCCCCAGCTGTCTGTGAGTCTCCCACTGCTTGCCGGGGCCCATGCCAGGCGGGGCAGCAGGAGCAGTGGGGGATGCAAGGCCTCCCTTCCTGCCCTGCCCGGGCCTCCGTGTCCCGCTGTGTGCACCTGCTGCGGAGGGCAAGGCAGACCCCCTCGACAAGCTCCGCTGAGTCCTGAGGACTGCAGGAGACACCCGTTCCAGCAGTCTGTGTCTTATTTCATGAACTGGTTTGAAAAGCAGGTGATGGAGACAGACTCACAGAAAGATTCCCCCACATCTCTCCGCCCAGTGCCAGGCCAGAGCCACCTCTGGATGGCCATGACCTGAGCCCGCATCGGTTGCCTCCTAGGGTGCCCACCAGCAGGCAGCTGGAGTAAGGAGCAGGGCTGGACCTCCACCCCTGCCTGACATGGGGGATGGGCACCCGGGGGGAGGGGCATGGGAGTTGCAATGCACCTGCCTCCTGTTGAGTGACCCTGGAACCTGGGGCTCAGAGTGGGGACAGAGGGCAAGGCCTGTGTGGCTAGGCCAGACGCAGAGGCCCTGCCCGCCGTGACCCGCTCAGGGCAGCTCTGTTGTTGCCCACAGGTGCTAGAAGACCGCATGAAGCTGGAGTGTAAGTGCCACGGTGTGTCGGGCTCATGCACCACCAAGACGTGCTGGACCACGCTGCCCAAGTTCCGCGAGGTGGGCCACCTGCTGAAGGAGAAGTACAACGCGGCCGTGCAGGTGGAGGTGGTGCGTGCCAGCCGCCTGCGGCAGCCCACCTTCCTGCGTGTGAAGCAGCTGCGCAGCTACCAGAAGCCCATGGAGACGGACCTGGTGTACATCGAGAAGTCTCCCAACTACTGCGAGGAGGATGTGGCCACTGGTAGCGTCGGCACGCAGGGCCGCCTGTGCAACCGTACCTCGCCTGGCGCCGACGGCTGTGACACCATGTGCTGCGGCCGCGGCTACAACACTCACCAGTACACCAGGGTCTGGCAGTGCAACTGCAAGTTCCACTGGTGCTGCTTCGTCAAGTGCAACACCTGCAGTGAGCGCACCGAGGTGTTCACCTGCAAGTGAGGGCGGCCACGAGGGTCTGGGGTAGACTGCGGGACGGGGGCAGCGGGGCCCCGGCCCGCGCCCACAGCCTCTTCCCCAACCTACTGGCACCCCTCTACCCCTTCCACCTCCTCTCCTGGGCACACATGAAGCCCAAGCAGGTTCCTTCCTGTGTCTTGGGGAGTGCGACCCTCATAGTTGCCCAAGGGTTCCCGAGAGTAGAATGAGAGGCAAGACTGTGAGGCCCCCTCACCCGCTGGACCCTGGCCACGCCGGCCCCTGGCCACACCGGCCCCTGGCCACACCAGGCTCTGGCCTCGCTGGCCCCTGGCCACGCTAGCCCCTGGCCACACCAGGCCCTGACCACGCCGGCCCCTGGCCACACCAGGCCCTGACCACGCTAGCCCCTGGCCACACCAGGCCTTGGCCACACCAGGCCCTGACCACGCCGGCCCCTGGCCACACCAGGCTCTGGCCACGCCGGCCCCTGGCCACGCCAGCCCTTGGACACACCAGGCCCTGGCCACACCGGGCCAAATCTGCAGTGTGGACAGATGACAGTGAGTTATTTATGTTTTCCGAGCATCCAAGCAGGATACGCAGCCTGGACCGGTGCTCCACAGCCCCACCCTGGGGGCCCTGCAAGTGAGCTGGGCAGGGGTCTGCATGGAAGCTGACCCCAGAGTCCCTTCCTTGGAAAGTCACATCTTATATGTCAAAATGGCCCCTGGTGAGGGTCCCAGCATGCTTCACCCCCTCCCTGACCCTGTCACACCACATTCCCCGCCTCCACTTCACCTGACTACCAGCAGGGGCTGGGGACAGTGGCCAGGGAGGGACCTGCATCCTGCTCCACGCCAGGACCTGGGCCCTTGGCGACCCCTGCACCTGCAGACACGACTCCAGAGCGCCCTGCCCCGCTGACTGGACAGGACTCCCAGGGCTAGGAAGCAGCCCAACAGCCCAGCCCTGCCCCACAGCCCTTCTCTGTGTCCCTGAGGCAACTCCCGGCCTGACTCTGCTTCCTCACCCAGAACCCCAAAGTTGAGAGGGCTTGGCTGCAGGGTGGAGCCTGGCCTGCTCCCCTGGCACTGCCTTCCTTGCCTTCCCTCCAAATCTCCAGACAGGGGTTCTAGGAGGGGTCTGCTAGCGGGGGGGCGGGGGGGAGACCTGGAAGCCTGGACTTAAGGCCCAGCGTGGCCCTCCCACCCCCTTCTCTCCCTGGAGGTGGGGCTGCTGCTCCCTGTCCCTCTGTGGGCACTCTCTCAGCAGAAGCCCCTGGAGACCTGCTGGAGGAGCGCCTCACAGCCTGGCTTCCGCCGACAGCCTTCCCCATGTGCCCACACGAGGCCAGGCTGGTGCTCCACCCCTGCCCAGGTCCCCTCACCTGGCCCTCCATGTCCAGGGACAGTCCTGGTGCACAGGCCCGGCAACCTGTGTCAGGGAGCTGGTTAACTTATATTGTTATATAGTGTCGAATGTCTATAGTCTTAAGTTATTGTGAGCTACACTGGGAACTGGAGGGGGCTGGGCTGCGGCCGACGGTTCTGACCCGGGCTCCTCCTCTGCTTCAAACGGACATAAGCACTGTCCCCGGGCCCCCAGGCACCTGCCGAGCCCACCGCCCCTCCCTCGGAACGGTCAGGCCACAGTAGGCTTGGCCCTGGATGGAGGGGAAGGGGAGAGGAATGTGTCCACCTTGCGATGGGGTGTCCTCGGAGCGCCCGTTTCTGACAGGCTGTGTTGCCGGCCTTCCCTGCAGGGGGGTGTTCGGCCCCAATAAACGCTGGAATTGAGAAATGTGTGTGAGTCCCCACGCTGTGCACCCCAACCCCACCCAGTCCTTGTCCTGGTGGTGGGAACGCCCCCTGTTGCCTCAAGCTCAAGCTGACAGGCAGGGCCTCTGCCTAGACACCGGGGTGGCCCCTGCCCACAGTGGACACAGACCCTGAAGCCTCTGGACAGCAGGGGCCTGGTACCCAGAGTTGCGCCTTGGGCAGGACAGGCGCAGCCCGAAGCTGGGGCACAAAGTCCCTGTGCCATGTCCATCCCCTTCTGAGCCTAGCTGAGCCAGGGTCTGACCGCAGGGCCTTCTGGCTCTCTGGCTGTATCTGGGGGGGTTGGGTCCCAGTGCCCCCGGGGGCTCTTCTTCTCAGAGGCCCGCCCCAGGGCTGCAGTAACCACACACAGGACGCAGGTGGCATTCCTACCGAGGGCCGGAAGGCATGCAGCGGGGCCGGTTTGGCCACTGCCCGCTGCCCGGCAGCCTGGCATAGGGCGGAACCACCGATCAAACAGCCCAGTCCTCCTCCTGGTGCCCCTTGCTGCACCCAGCCGAGCACCCATGGAGCCAGCCTCCAGGTGGGCTCTCCCAGGGCACAGCAGGGCTGTGTGCTGGGCTTGATGAGTCCGCTTTGCCCCTGTCCTGACAGCCCCAAGGGTGACCCTGCCACGGGGACCCCTGTGAGAGCAAGAGGTGGTCAGCAGGGCCCAGGCCGGGGTTGGGCCACTTGGCAGGAGGCCCCGGTTCCCCACGCGACGGTGAGACGAAGGGGCAGCAACGGCTGTGGAGGAACACCGGGCTCCGGCTACTCCCACGGGGCCAGGAATGAGGAAAGAGCTTGGAGGATGCCCGGCCCCCAGCGCCCAGACTGTACTCGCCTCTTGGCCGCGGTTCAACCCCCAGGCCTCCCAGCACTGCACTGCACATCCACCTCGGGGCCCCGCCTAGGCCCCCAGCCAGGGGCTGCTCATCCCCCACCTCTGGGCTCGTCTGCCTCCAGTGTGTCCTCGAGGGACCCTTCCCCCCAGACACCAACAAGTCGCAAGGCCTTACTGGGGATCCCACCCCGACCTTCCACCTGCCTCATTGAGCCCTGTCCCCAGGAGTGCCAGGCCCTTGGCTGGCTCTTCCCACCTCCCCCGCCCCCAAGTACTGGGCAGCCCCTGGGTGTGCACCTGCTGCCTGGAAAGCAGCACCAGCCCACATTCCCCATGGGGCTCACTCCGCCCATCCCTCCCATCGGCCCATGGCCCCTCTGGGCATGTTGTCTTACGGTATCTTCCAGAACCCTGCTGACCTTGCACCTCACCTCCCACGGCCCCCAGCCCTGTCCTTGGCTGCCCTACCCTCCTACCTGAAACTCCCTTCCCTCCTCTGGACTCTTCCTTCTCCCATGATGCCTGCCGTCTGCTGGGCGCTGGCCAGGGGTTGGGGGGTTCCCCAGCCCCACTCTGAGCACACCCCCAGGCTGGACCACCGGCACTGTGCCCTTCCCAGAACACGGGCCCTCACTGGCTCCGCTTGACAGATGGGAGAGTCTGAGACAGTTCGCTGAGATGACTGGTGCCCTTGTGGTAAGCAAGGGTGCCAGGAGAAAGGCTGGGTGCAGAAGCAGCAGGCAAGCTGTGGGGGAGACCTCGGGGAGAGGCGGTGAGGGTCGGAGGAAACCGTGTCAGTGGACTGCCTTCAGACAACGGAGGGTCAGGGGGTGTCCTGGGCCAGGACAGCCAGGTGGGGCAGGGCTGTGGCCTGGGAGGCCCAAAAGCCGGGAGGGAGGAACAAGAAGTGGCTTAGGTGACAGGAAGGGCCGAGTCCCCATCACTGCCCACCGGGAGCCAGCCTCCACTTTGCTGGGTCCCTTTCTGGCGTCCTGCCCCAGGAGAGACCCTGGGGTGGGCAGGTGGTTAACCAAAGGCACCAGGGAGGGGGCTCCAGCTCCAGAGCCACACTGCGGCCCACCCTGGGGCCACAGTCACTGAATGTCTCTAGCTGGTTCTCACTCAAGTTCCCCATCTGGGGTCCCCGGGACCCTGGGAAGCTGTGCCCCAGGAGGTTGGAATGTCTCTCCTCATGCGACCGGGCCCTGCTGCTCAGGTGGGTCTCTCCAAGGGGGAGAGCAGGCTGCAGGCCACACATCCCCCTACTTCACCATGGCTGGCAGGGCAAGCCTGGGGTGCCCTCCAGAAGCCAGACAGAGGGGTCTCTCCTGACGCCCCACTGGGGATCTCATCCGACCCCAAGGCGTAGCCTTGCCCTGCCAGGACCACCTGCAGGCTCTGCCCAGGGCCTTACCCAGCCCCACGGAAGGGAGAATAGGGAAGACAAAGGAACCAAAGGGAGGTGGGAGGCGGGGGTAGGGAGAACATCCAGGACCTGAGGGATTGTGGTTTGGGGTGAATGGAGCTGCCTAAATTAACAGGGTTCCAGAAGGTTCCAGAAAGTTCTTGCTCTTGAGCTGTATGATGGCTGACTTTGGGCAGGAGTTCTCACCACCTCCTGGCCAACATATTCCCAGCCAGCTTCCCTGTACCCAGCCTGCCCGCCAAGACCCTCAAGAGCCAACGGGGTGTGAGAAGAGATGGAGGAGCAAGGGCTGGCATGGGGGTCCTTCCCAATCTGATTCCTGCTAGTCCTCTGCCAGGATGGGGGGTGACTACCTGTGCTGGACGACCAGGCTGAACCAAGGGCCATTGCTGGCTCCAGGGCCAGGCCGGTGGGGGTACCAGGTAGGCTGTCCCCACAGCCCTCTGGGCTGTCAAGGCCGATGCCATGGCTTTGAGGGGCCTGGCAGGCAGGGAGCTCCTGCCTGGCCAGCTTCGCGATGGGCCCTGGCACGGACAAGATGACTAAGGCCGCCTCCTCCCGGGTTCCCAGGCCGCAGGGACCGATTACATCTCAACAGCAAACATACAGGGTTGGGGGAAGGCCGCCTGTGGGGACAGCAGTGAGTCAGAGGACTTGCTAGGGGCTCCCTGATGCAGGAAGGGGTACTGCGTGGTCTCCAGGGGTCACCTGGCGGCCCGTCAAAGGGAGTCCCTGCCACTTGATTGCCACGCAGGGGGCACGTGTGCAAAGCGCTCAGCCCTCACGGCTGTGTTCCCCATAGGGGCGCCAGGAGCCTCGTTTGAAGGTGGAAGGGCTTCTGGGGAGGCCCAGCTCCCCCAGGCTTTCACTGTCTTCTCCCAACCCTGGAGGTTCCCAGAGGTTCCGGCTTCACTCCTGCCTGCCCCACGGAGGGGC